AAGCTTTCAAACACACTCTGCATTTTTACTATAAACATGAATTCTGCTTTTGAACATGTTCAAAGGAAATGTATTCCCGCTGATCTCTTATTAAACAGAATGTCATTTTGTGTGAATTCAACTCAGATTCTGGTTCTGGAGCTGAATGATGAGGCTGCGGAGCAGATGGTAGAAGCTACGGTAGTGGACCTGCTGCAAGGTCAGGAGGGTTTCCGCTGGAAGGGACAGGCGCGTCTAGACGTTCGGGAGGAGCCGGTACTGTTTCCTCCAGGCTTTCAGCCATTCGCCCTGGTGCAGTGCCAGCCACCCGCTGTGGTCACCGCAATCGCTCTGCACTCCGAGTGGAAACTAGTGGGCTTCGGGACCAGCCATGGCTTTGGTCTTTATGATTATAACCAGAGGAATAACATCATGGTCAAGTGAGGAAAAAAACATCTTAAATGGCATTTCAGAGTAATTTGTTGAAAATATATGGATTTGTGAATGTTATTAATGGAGCTATCTACATTTTTTCTTACGATCCATGACGATTTGAGTGTTTTAAAAATTAGACACAGTGAGGTGTCATAAACTCCTCTCCCCAGTTCGTCCAGTGTATGTCAAAAGACAGCCAATTAAAGTTATTAATTCTAATAAGCTGCTTTTTGATATCTATTGCCTGTAAATGCTGTAAATGCTAATTAATTTCTGCAGCAAAAATAGCTATTAATATTATGGAATGTCTATGACCATGGACCACAGATCCAGTCTTATACCGGTATCTATTATCTGTGAATATATATATATATATATATATATGTATATATGTTTTGTTTTTTTTCAAAATATTATCTGTACCTTAATGGTTACTAAACTACAGAGAATACAAAGCGACATTATTCTAGAAAAAAACACTGTGAACTCGAGAGCTTTGGCCATGAATTTGCTTGTGGTGCTAAAAACAAGAAACTGAACATGATTTATTGTTCTGGTGTACTGATGGCAAAGTTCTTTTTAATTCCCGGCTTGGAAGTACAGCTAATTTGGAAATACCATTGCAATTATTTATTAATGACGTATATTAAGAAGCCGCCAATGCTGCAGAGAGAGACTTTTAGATGAATATATAAATATGCACTGCACTCTTTTCTTTCAACATTTAAGAAAAATAACTGTGTGAGAAAAAAAAAAAAGAGTTAAGGCATCTAATTATAGTGATGTGGTTTATTTACACAAGCTGTGAAACTGAATGAAGTGGACAGTTGGTGTACCGCACAAATAGCCTAGGTAAAGAAAACCTCCACAATATACAGCATATTAGACTAAAGTTTTTTTTAATCTGGTTCATTGTAGTGATGATTGAGAATACATGTGCCAATGTGATCATCACAGTAATCTAAAAATTCCCATCAAAAAGAGAAGTGTTCTATGTGGTATTAGTAAAAATAGTATTGTCACCAGGGCGTACTTTCATATTTTCGTCAAAGGAAAAAAACAGCTCTTTGTCTGACTCACTTATCACATGATACATTGGCTTTTAGTATGAATGATCTGAATGAAAAACATTTACATGGAAACTTCAAACCATATTTTTGTTGAATATATGACAGCAAAAGTCAAGTGTATTTATTCTAGTATTAATATTTTCCACATTTAAAAGAGTCGTATGACTAGAAGAAGATGTTCAACCAAAGCTGCACATATTTGTTTTTAATACAATACTATTGGGAAATATATATTTTTTGAAAACTTTTTTATTATAGTTTTCGCAGACATAGAAAAGCAAATGGATAGACAAACCCATCATGTAACAATAATCTGTACAAAATGTTTCAAAAAAGCATGAAACGAGGGAAAGTGGCGACATATATGACTTACAGAAATTAAACCACATTATTAGCCTTTATGTTGTGCTAGAAAAAAAAACTTGATCCCACATTTTATCAAATTACAAACACTTTTTTAACAAAATTACAGACACATGCTTTATCAGTTGTTGTTTTGTTCTTGCTTATTTTATTATCTGTGTTGATAGTTGTTTTCTGTCCATTTATAGATGCACCCTTAACCCCAGTGACCAGATGGCTATGGAGGGGCCGCTTTCACGAGTCAAGTCCATCAAAAAGTCTCTGCGACAGTCCTTCCGCAGGATTCGCCGCAGTCGAGTCTCCATGCGCAAACACCACACTAACAACGCAGCCAAGGTGGGTTATAAAGTCTTAATCTGTTCCATAAAAAAATTCACTGAATGTACTGAAATATTGTGTTGTAGGTCTTAAATCATTTTAAACGGGTCTTCATTTGCATGTCCATGTAAACCTATCCAACATCCATCCAATCAACAACAATCCAGCTCAATAAAACTTTTAACAAGTGTTTTATTAACTGTATTTGCCAATATGGTTTATTTATAGCTACCTGGTGAGAACGCTGAGCGGGACAGACTGTTACATACATTAAGTTTATTACAGTTTTTAAACTGTAACAGTTTTTGCTTACAGAAATGTTCTATTGAGAAAAGATATTTGACAGAATATTTTCACATTATTTAATTATTTATTTAAGAAGAAATAATTCATTAGATTTTTTTGATGGGGAAAGTAAAAAAAATTTACACTGGCCCAATTGGACCATTAAAAAAAAATAACTTATAATTTAGCCCTGTATACGTCTGAAATTTAATTCATATTGTCCTTAAAATGTATGAAATTCTTAAAAGCAAAAATAGAAATAGAAGACTTTTATGAAGATATTAACCAAAATTTGAAAGACAAAGGCTAGTCACTGAGAAGTATCCTTATAAAGGTTCCTGAAAGATGACCAAATGCGCCAAAATACCTCTGGTTTTTGATGTAAATCATAAGATAACTTTTTCAATGACAAAAGTTTTATCTTTTTGCTCAACTACATATTGACAGAACGGACCTGAGCAGTTGACCATAATAAAAATTTACTTTTTTTTTTTTGGCCCAATATATAGAAAAATTCAGCACACAATCTTCATCACAATCAAGACAGAGTTGCACTGTACAATTCAGGACATATACCGTTTAAGACATTGCAAAAGTCTTTCCAATAATTCAAGAACAATTTTGTGAATCTCTTTCCAGTACCTTTGGTTCTGTCACAGTGCCAAAATACATGCATTTCTGTGCCAATATTTTTACTATTATTATTTTTTGTACGGCTCTTTGTACGCCGGTTGAACTACTTTTGCAAATTTTCATTGCCAATCAAATTCACTGGTTTTGGGTCAGTTTGGAATTTTCACAACCAGCGCAGAGCCTCTGGGATTGAGAACTGCTGGTTTTACAATTATTATCTACCTCACATTTAAAACACAGCTGAGAACAATTGGGAAATATTCTATGAATGCTAACTGAGGGTTACATGAAGAGCTATTTCAGTAGCGATTGGCGCTGCATACTTCAGAGTTGTTGAAACAGTGGTGCTGGCTTGATGATGAATATTCTGGATCTTTCTGCAGCTGCAGGAGATCAATGCCAGGCTGGAGGCTGAGGCTCTGCAGGAGATGGAGCTGGCTCCTGTACAGAGAAAGATTGAAGCCCGATCATCTGATGACTCCTTCACAGGTCTCGTCAGAACGCTCTACTTCGCAGATACATTTGTCAGTGATAGTAAGTACCACAGGGTTTTTTAATCTGCAATTTGGGATTAGATTTTGGGTCTTATAACTGATATGATGACCTTAATCTTCTTCTTGTTTTCCTCAGGTTCTCACAGTACACCTTCACTGTGGGCAGGGACCAATGGCGGAGCTGTGTTTGCATATGTCCTCCGTGTCCCACCACAGGAACGAAGGGCAGAGGATCCAGTGACGGCTCATGCAGGTACAAAAACTAAAATCTGAAATAATAGTCAGAAATAAATTTCTTTGTTTGCTTTCAGCTGTAAAATCATATTTAATGTATCAAAAATAATTTGCCAAATAGGAGCACAGTTTTTTGTTGATTTTAATAATACAAAGTACTGTTGTGACTGCTACTGAATCATTATCTACATGGTGCAGGTGGTTGGTTGCTGTCACCTTAGCAGCCAATAAGCTTGTTCTTGAACATTCACATTCAGGTTCACATGTTTTTAGATCTGCTACGGGGAGTCACATATACAGTTGAAGTTAGAATTATTAGATCCCGGTTTATTTAAATTTATTTAATTTATTTAATAATTTTGACCTTAAAATGGTTCTTAAAAAAATTAAAAACAAAATAAAACAAAAAAATAAAACAAAAGACTTTCTCCAGAAAAAAAAATATTATCAGACATACTGTGAAAATTTCCTTACTCTGTTAAACATAATTTGGGAAATATTTAAAAAATGTAAAAAAAAAATTCTAAGGGGGCTCAACTGTATATTGCGTTTGCAGCAGCAGTATGTTAAATTTTCAGACTGTGTGACTGTGAACATGCTGACAATAGGAAGTCTCAGTACTTGCTCTGCTGCTTTGATAAAACAGCAGCAACATAGCAGCTTTATTCCGCCAAGACTAATCTAAGACTAAATAAAAAATGTGCATTATATTTTACATATTATAAAACGTGAAGCATATTAACAAAGCTTGTGTATTTGGGTCAAGCATGAAAATGTGTAATACAATTATAGTTTAAATAGTTTAAATGTTAAATAGTTTAAATACCAGAAAGATTTTGTGATGCATATTTAATGAACATGATGAAATGATTAAACATTAAAAGAGGCTTTGTATTTCTGTTTTTTTATTACTATTTCTCTATATGTAGGTTTTTATGTACAGCTCTTTGGTCAGTCATGTGGCTGTTTTTTAAATGTACTTAATAAATAAATATATATTTTAGCAATGATATTTCGAAACTACAGTGCTGATTAAAAGCACTAATTAACTGTCACTTTAAATCCCTTTGCTGTTATAATTTGAGCATGACATTTTTAATCAAAAACAAAATCCAAATGTTGAATGAAAACTTCATCTTTTTAATATTTTAGTTAGTAAAGAAAAAATGTTTCTTTATTTTTATATGTTAAGCTGAACAAAGTATTTCACCCTTATTGTAACATTTGAAGATGTTCACAATTATTCCAAACATAATAATGAACATTTTAAATGCATTTAATGTTCCTGTTTTGTACATCCTTTTTTATATTTAATGTTACACGGATACCAAAATGGGATCTCATGCTTTTGACCCGTAACATTTTACCCCAAACTTAAAAACAAAACAAAGCCTCAAATTTGCCTACAACGACACATAATGATGCTGTTTCTTTCACCATATTATTGACAAGGAAGCTTATTTTCTTTATGTGGAAACATACATCTCCACCTTCATATGATAGATAGATAAAATGTTTTTGATTTATTTATTTAAGGCTGGAAAGTAATTAGAATTTATTAAGAGGGCTTTTAAAACCTTTTTATAAAACACGGAAAACCTTTGTTGAATTACATTGATACTATTGATCTTGAAGCAGAAGAGGAACAACCCATTTTGGATATTAACTGTATTATTTAATAACTACATTTATTTGTATTATTTATTTATTTATTTGTTTATTTATTGTAAATGATCATTTGTACTTGTATTGTAAGGTTAGGAGATATGGGGGATTGTGGTGGGATATTTAAAAAGCAGCAATGGTATTATTTGTTTTGGTATGTATATGTTGTTGTATCTGGATAAAATGTTAATAAACATAATTGGCAAAAAAATAAAAGAAATAATAAATGAGTCAAATGCTTACTATAAAATGTGCTTTTCCATCACCAGCCAAAGAGATTCAGTTGATGCATCGTGCTCCAGTTGTCGGTTTGGTGGTCTTGGATGGGAAGGGAGCCCCTCTGCCCGAACCCCTAGAAGTGGCACATGACCTGGCACGCAGTCCTGAAATGCATGGCTCACACCATCTATTGGTTGTGTCAGAGGAGCAATTTAAGGTGAGAATTTGCACAGTACAGTTTGGGTTTCCACTATATGTCTTGTGTCTTACCGTAGTTGTGTGTGCGCAGCTTTTTACATTGCCCAAAGTGAGCAGTAAGTCGAAGCTAAAGCTGACGGCGGTGGATGGCTCTCGTGTGCGGCGTGTCGGTGTGGCTTGGTTTGGTTCTCGGACCGATGAACAGTTAGAGAGCTGTCTGGTGGTGCTGACGAATCAGGGGGAGCTCCACGTCATCTCTCTGCCCTCCATCAAAATGCTGGTCCATTATCCTTGCATACGGAGAGAAGACGTCAGTGGAATCGCATCCTGTGTCTTCACCAAATATGGCCAAGGTAAGAAAGAGCTGAATTTCACATACTGTACATGGTTTGATAAGCTGCTAGTATAAATGAAATAAGAGTTTTTAAATGTTGTTAAAGCTTGTACATGTAAAAACTGGTATCTGGAAACTTGTAGTTGTAAGAATAAAAAGTCAGAAAGAAGTAGTTCGAAATTTTGAGTTGGTTTTTGTTTTATTTTGTTGCAGATAGAGAAATTTATAAAAAATTTAAAAAAGAAAAAAGGTTAACACTAGAATAATGTAGAGCTGTAATCAGGCCATAAAATTTAGGCCCAATAGGGCCCGAGCCCAACAAGTACATTTTAATTCACTGCTTTTCAAAAGATCGAACCCATTTACAGCCCAAGTTAATTCTTTAGTTTCATAAATTTAGTAGGACTATTCCAGGAATTAATTATTCCATTTCATAATTAATTATTAAAGTATAACTTTAATTAAAACAAGGATATGCATTAATAAGAAGTGGTCGTGGAACAAATTTGTAATTCAAATTATGTTCAGAGCTCCGTAGTTTAAAATAGGCTAACAGTCAGTTAAACTATAGTATAAAATAACACACACAGCTGCCTTAATAAATAGGCTAAAAAATACACAGTTGATCACTGAGGCCTATTTTAAATCTTAATAAAAAACTGTACTGAAAGAAAAAAGGAAAAGCATTAATACCGCTTTGAAAGAGAAACTTATTTTATCGAAGTACTTTAATTTTAGACAGTTATTCAAATTTTTTTTAGTTACAAGCGGTAATGGTTTACCAGCGAGCAAGCATATGACCATGAAGCAGAATGGTTAGCGAAGTTTACTCCACTCCGCTCGCATGCTCTATCTGCTTCAATATATAAGTTCAGTATGTTCACTATGTTACATAACTGCCCCCTGCTGGCTTTGTATTTTGGATGTTAGTCCATGTTGTGCTGTGCTGCGCATTACTGCAGTACCATGTGACATCTTAATTCACTCGTGCATTCTCAGTAGCCACATCTGTACCTAAAATTCTAACAGAAACAAAAATGTGAGAATTGTCAGATGTAAACTAAGAATTCTGAAAGGAAAATTGCAAAATTTCAAGATGTGAACTTCTGAGGGAAATTAGCCAGAATTATGAGGTGAATATCCTGAATTCTGATGATAAAAAAAAACTGTTGCAAGTAAAACATTTGCATTCATTTTTTACAAACTCCCCAGTGTAAAGCAGCTTCCATGTGATAACCTGTGAAACTCTGTCTGGTCCTCTTGTAGGTTTCTACCTGATCTCTCCATCCGAGTTTGAGCGGTTTTCTCTCTCCACCCGTTGGGTCGTGCAACCTCACTGTCTGGTTGAGCCTCCCCTCCAGATGAGGTCCAAGAGCCCATCAAGCCCTGTTCACAGGGACTTGCCGGATGGAGTACCCACCGAACACAGGTGTGTGTAGTCATGTAAAGAGTATCACTAAACAAAGACAAATGCATCGTGTCTTTAACAATAAAATAATAACACATACAATGTCTAGCTATGAGACAGAAGGCTATTTAAAATCCTGCCTCTCCACTCATATATTTGTGACTTTAATTTAGTGGATACGCTTCATATAGAGAGCTTTAATACAACAATAAGTAAATAAACATACTCCATACAAAAATAAATGCATATAAACTCATGACATAAAATAATAAGACAACAGGATTTCAAATAGTGAAGCACAAGGAGAGAGTGTTATCAAAGCAGGCCATTCTCTTACTTTGTTCATTCTTGAAGTGCAATACTGTATGTTAAATATTGCATCTTTTGTGCAATGTTGTCTTTAACACTTTTATTTCACAGTCAATCACTGTGTTGTATTGTATCAATACTCCATTCGTATTTAAGATTCTGTTACATTATTCTTGTGTATATAGAATCTCACTACTCAGTTACTGTGCAATATGTTTACTCTTTTTTTGTTTGTTTGTTTTTTTGCACTGTAAGCTCTAATTTTGCTGTACTAAATACTCAGTACAGTGACAATAAAGAATTTTGAAACCTGTAAGTGCCATTTTGTATTTTTGGTGATTAGATTAGTTGTTTTAGACTGCTGTTTTAATAAGCGACACCATTTCAGATTTAGTTTCTGGTTGTAAAAAATGTACCAAAGTGTTAATATATTGATGTTTGTTTGTTTTGTCTTTCCAGAAATTTCAAAGGGGACAGTGAAGGATATGGTGAGATTCAGAGTTTTCTTCTCTTTTTTTTTTTCTAGTTGTGTGTGAGAACTAAACATCTAATACTAAAACGCATGTTGTTAGTGCTTTGTTGAATGCTTTCCCACATTATTCCCACAAGTCTCATGCAGATGACTTACAAACACAATCTGTAATTGATGAAACTGGGCCATGTTGAAAATTTCAATGTTATAAGTACTTGTTATTTATTTGAGGTGGTATGAACGGCAAAGCATCATACTATTGTATTTAAACAGCCTTCATGTCCACTCATTTAAATAATCATATAATTTACTGTATTTATGTACAGCTATTAAAAGACCACCTAAATGATCAGTTTCTTTGGATATGCAATTTATAATCATATAAGAAAAATACATGCGCAGATACAATAGTATGGCCTAAGAAATAAGCACTCTATTAGATTAGCAATTGAAAGCAACACGTGCAATATTTGATTATATTCAGAAATTATCTAAAATTAACTTCTGAATTTAATCAAATAATCCACATGTTGCTTTCAATTGCTAATCTAATTGAGTTTATTGCCACATTATCCGAATATAAAAGACCTTAATTTTATTTACTTTTTATTACGTTTTGATTTGACTCTTTTTTTTCCCATGTCCAGTGTAACAAGCTCTGTTTGCCATACATTTGTAAGTAAATGTTGAAAATAATGCAATAAAGTCTAAAAACAAAATAAAAATAGCATTTGTCAGAAAATAAAAATTGTTTTCAGACAAATGTCTATACATTATTTTGACAGAGAATGTTAATATTTTATTTTTATTAATGTTATTAAAATGTTTTTTATTGAATGCCAAATTCAATGCAAATTTAGATGTGTATTAGTCAACGTAGAAGCTGAAAAAAGAAGCAAAATATTTTTCTATTTTAGAGAAGGTAAAACATTTAAAAAATAAATAATAATAACAATGAATGAATATTAATAATATTAATAATAATAATATTTCAGAAGCGTATATGCAAAACTTAGAGTTCAGATCTCTATTTGGTAAAATAACCCTCATTTCAGTCAACTAATGAAAATATTTTCAAAAACCAAGTGCTGTGAATGAAAATATTTTATTATATACTATTATTTTTTTTAATATGGAAGAAATATCAAGCCTTTATCATGTAAAACATTTTACTCAAACCTATACTTAATAAATACAATAAAGCAATAAAATAAAAATATTAAATTAGCTGAATTATATAATTTATTATTATATTATTTTTAGATTATATAAATTATAAAATGTAAATAAAATTGTACTATTATTATTATTATTATTATTATTATTATTATTATTATTATTACAAGGTCGCTGGTTCCAGGCCTCGGCTGGGTCTGTTGGCATTTCTGTGTGAAGTTTGTATGTTCTCCATGTGTTTAAAATGCACTATAGGTGAATCGGGTAAGCTACATTGTCCATAGTGTATGTGTTTGAATGAGAGTGTATGGGGGTTTTCCAGTGATAGATTGCAGCTGGAGGAGCATCAGCTATGTAAAACATACGCTTGATAAGTTGCATTCCACTGTGGCGACCCCAGATTAATAAAAGGACTAAGCCGAAAAGAAAATGAACGAATGATTATTATTATTATTATTATTATTATTATTATTATTGTATTTTATTAGTAGATCATAATTAATAAAATATTTTAAAAAGCAGTATTTTAATAAAGGTAAAACATTGCTGTGGCCTGCCAGTACCCACAATTGCAGATTGTGTGAATAACTCCTCTTAAAAGTGTTTGCACGTTTGCGCTGGACTGATCCGTGTGCTTGTGTGTTCCAGAGAATTCTGCTAGACAAGTAATGGAGCATGCTTTGCTCAACGATGAGAGTGAGTACACCAGGAATCAGCAGTTAGACAGCATATTCTCCAGTTTAGACAAATCATTAGATAGCATATCAGATGATTGTCAGTTTGTTGATTGTTTCTTGCTTGCTCTTTTTGTTCCATGACACAAAAACTACAATCTAAACATGCTGAACGTGTTCTAGTGATCATGTTCTGGTCTGTGCAGTCATGTGTGCGCATGATTTGTAAGGCTGCCATCTGCCTGCACCATAATATTGTCTCATTAATATCTGTGCAAGTTTTTGAAAGGATGAACGCATTTTTGAGTACTTCACATTAGTCAATTGTGGGTAAAACTGTTTAAATCACATCTTGCTTTAATTCAGGTGTTCTGCAGGAGATCCAGAAGTCTCTAGAAGGAGATCAAACGTAAGGATTTTTCATTTTCACATATTAATTTCTTTTTATTAATATTCATTAATGCTTGTGTGGTCTGAATAATATTCTGCCAATCGTTTATTCAAAGGACGTTCCTAGAGAACAATCTGAAGACTAAGCCTAAAGCAGGCAATGTGCTGAGCAATGGAGGTAATGACTTTTCTGTTGCTAATTAGCATCAATTGTTATTCTGCATTATAATTGTTATATTGTAATTATTCCCCCTGTGAAAAGATTTGGAAAGAATAGTGATCAGTGTCTTCCAGTAATGCAGATCTTTGTCTTCGGGTGCAGTAGTGTGTTGCGTGTTGTTATACAGGCTTTACAAATGTTTGGAGGTCCTCTGCACGAGTGCTTCTGATTTATTTATTGTGCATAAGCCTGACCTGTTTTATATTTGAGTCACTTCATGAAATGCAAAGATGGAAAATGTAAAAAGTGTTAGATTATTATTATTAATTTTGCTGACTAATATGAATGTTTTCTGTTTAATGCAAAGCTAAATGCAAATGTATGTGTATTAGTGAATGTAAAATGGTCTGAGACCTTGGAGGTTTTTTTTTATTAGAAAAGTTAAAAACGAACAAATAATGATAACGATATACTAGTATTATTAATAATTTTATTATTTATATTTTTACTATTATTATTCATAATAATAAAATGATTGTGTAAAATTATAAATTAAAATATTTTTTCTTTTTTAATTTACATTTCTTGTTGACAAGTTCTTAAATCACTATTAAAAGTAAAACATAAATATTAAATGAAATAAAAACACAACCGTATCAAAATTAATATGTAATAAATGATTGTTTTGTATGCTTTTGGTATATTTTCCCCTATTGTTATTGTTTTAAAACAAAGTTCTCCTTGAAAACATTTTATTTTGGTCTCAAGCCACTTCATTAAATGTTTATTAAATATCCATTAAGGGCTGTTTCTCATAAACTACAGTGTAAATGTAAAGTTTAAAGGCTTTACTGTCAGGCGCATTTCCCTCTACAATGAAATCCTTACTTTCAACTCTGAAGGCTGTTACAAAATAGAAATTAAGAAAAATAACGTAATCAGAAATAAGGAACATATATAGCGCATAATGGTCTGATAAAAACATTAATGTTTTAATCTTTAATTTAATTGTAAATAAAGTGTTATTATATTATTATTTTGATACGATTGAAAGAAGTGTTTTATCATTTTCTGAGTCTAACAGTATTTAAGTACAGTAACTGAATGATCAAAATCAAAATAGTTCAATAAAGTTAATCATTGTTAAGATTACAAATGGTACAATTTATAATGCCTAAATGCTTTTAAGGTCTATATATGTGTGTGTGTGTGTGTGTGTGTGTGTGTGTGTGTGTGTGTGTGTGTGTGTGTGTGTGTGTGTGTGTGTGTGTGTGTCAGAATTATTATAAGCTGATTTTATTCTAGCCGAAATAAAACAAATAAGACTTTCTCCAGAAGAAAATAATAGTATTAGACATACTGTGAAAATGTCCTTGATCCTGTTAAACGTCATTTGGGAAATATTAAAAAAGAAAATAAATTCAAAAGAGGGGCTAATAATTCTGACTACAACTGTATATAAACACTATGTACACAGTCAGGGTTCCCACGCTTCTTGAAAGTACTTGAATTTCAGAAATACGGATTTCAGGCCTGGAAAGTACTTAAAAACAAACTTAGGCTGTTGAAGATGCTTGAATTAAATTTTAGACAATTTGTTTACGGCTTTATTTTAACATTTGTTATCAAATGTCAGAACCATAAAAAAATCATGTGTTTAAATCTTGTGCAATAACACTGACAAAGAATGCACATTTATCATTATTTCAGAAACCACATTTGAATATTACAAGTATTGAATTCATCAAATTTTAGAAGTTCTGTGAACAGGACTGTTTTTGAAAACTACATTTTTAACTAATATTAAGTGCAATGTTAAGTACAGTAAAGCCTTTCATTGTGCTACATATCCTGGGCTTTGAATTATAAAAGTGCCTGATTAAAAATGAATTGTGCTTTAAAAAGTTCTTGAATCAGCTGTTTATGAAAGTGTGGGAACCCTGCACAGTGAGCACACACACATTACCTAAATACAAACTTTTATTTTGGATGTAATTAATCACGATTAATCATTTGACAGCACTAATAATATATTGTGTGTGTTTTTTATGTCTTCTGTCCACAGATTGAGCCTTTTTTAATTCCCAGTGCCTGAATGAATGTGGATGCGCTCTTCATTCTAGACTTGCTTCCGATCTGAACACTACTGCTAGTTACCACTACTGAACCATGACATAGAGAGCGAAACCTCCTACACCCAGACAGGACAGGAGAGAGCGAGGGACCACCACCAGTGCCTGCCAAGACCAAACACTGTATTTCCACTCACTCCATCACACGCTAGCCGCTCACAACACCTCAGCAAACACAGCGGCATTTCAAAGACTCGCAGTTTCTTTTTTAACTTATTTTTTTAATGCATGACTTCCCTTTTGTACCAGATCAATGACCTCAGAGTTTTAAGTAGATGGTGTAAAATACTTTCGTTTGGATGCCATGAGCGGTTGCTGACAAGGGTTGGATGACTAAGGCAGCATTAGCACTAGATGCTAACATTAATCCGCATACACATTAAGTATTCCACAAAAAGTAGTGTTGCCTTTTCCCCGTCCAAGATTCAAGTTCTTATAGGTACTTGTACACTACTGTGTAGTACATATGCTGTAGTTTCTAGGGTGTACAGCTTTCTGAGGGGCTAGGTTTTGATTTTCGGTTTTATTTTCTGGTTTTATTTTTATTTTTTAACGTAATTCTGTTTTTGTTATGCCACGAATGAACGATGTAATCTAGGAATGTAATTTTAAAAATATTGTAGTCAAATGTTTTTAATATATGTGTATATGACAAAAAATCCGTACCTGTTTTTTTGGACGGTGGGTTACTTCTGCGGAGGGCCGTATTTTCTGATCTGAGGAAATATTTTGGTACTGTCTCCTGAAATGCTTTTATAGCGTTTTCTTTGGGGGGGAGCTCTAGAATATATTTTTGTAGAAACATGATGATTATGTATGAGAACACTAATTATTATTCTTTCTAATTTCACACTACAGTCTTCTCAGTAAAACGATTTTTCACACAATCTGTCTTCTTTCATTGATTCATTGAGGAAAATCCTAAACCATTCTGCATCACGGTGAGTAGATGAATGCAGTAGAAGTCTATTTAACATATGAAGAATATGCAGTATCCACTATTCAAGTTTGGTTTGCTGTCAGAAAGCTCAATCAAAATCATTCTTGCATTAAATCTGAGTTTCTAAGCACCTTGTTATGTAGTTTTGATGGTGTATACTAGGGCTGCACGATATTGTAAAAACCTAGCATTGCGATGTGCTTTGTATTTTGCAATATATATTGTGATATGAATACAATTTCACCAGATAACTTGAATATCTCTATATATTTATATTTGGAAGGAATTTTTAATGTTAGATAGATTGGGAGTGGGCGTGCATCTTCATAAAATCTAATAAACCGTCTTCTCACTTGTTAGTAGGGGTGTATTGGATTATGGTTGAACCGTGATTCGTACGGATCACAACCCACGGTTCGGAACACAAACGACCTGCTGATTTTATTTTACTTGTAAACTAATCCTAAATTTGTAACGATCACAGAGAGATCGCCTCTTTTGTCATTCAAATCACATGTATGAAAAATAATAATGATGACAGAGGAAGTTATGGTGAGTTATTCAGTATGTGGTGGGTTTCTTAGGTGTTTTCTGTCACTACTTGTTGAGCCTGCATTAATGCATTCAGTGTACTGCACAATTAATCATTAAAAGATCAGGATCTCAACACCCACGCAACATAAATTATAAATGATGGTGATTTGCATATGATTATTAATCCTTAGTCGCTGCATTCAAATTTGTGTTTGAAAAATGCAAAAGTCAAGAAAGAGATTCAGTTTTTAGTCTTTTGAGTTAATTATGAAGTTACAAACAGTCAAATAACACAGAAGTACTGGGAGAACAGTTTATAGTTTAGATAAAACCACGTTCATGGTAAAGATTACAATCAGTCATATGCAGTTGACGATGCTCAAAAATGGAAGTTGTAGGCAGCAATTACATTATTTCATCAATAGGTGGCTACAACCAGCCATTAAGAATATGCCATTGAATAATTGTATCGAAATGATCCATCTAGCAATGAAACATGAAGTTTTATGAGTGAATAACTGAATCCTTTATTGAAAATGAAACTACAAAATAAATATGGAGTATACGAATTATAATCTTAGATTTAGCGTCATCAGCAACAGTAGTAGTAACAGTGACATTTTCACTGAAAAATTACAATTTAATTTCTTTCAGCTGATTATTTCTTCATTTTAGTTTGAATAAAATTACAGCTTCTAAGTTCTGTTTTTTAAAAAAACCAAAGGTTTCTTGCAGTGCTGTTTTTGTAATATATGGAAAGCAAAATAAATTTGTCTCTTTGGCTGATCCGAAAAATGGTCCAATCCGTGACTGAAAAGCCATAATGTGATCCAAATTGTGAGATTTGGGATGCGTTACACCGCTATTTTTTAGGGTCCCTCGACACGTTTTCATTGTGGTCTGTGCTATTTGCAGTGGATTTTTGTATTTGCATGTGTCGAGAGTATTTTCATGAATAACAATCTATAAATACAATCAAGAAAAAAGATGCAATTTAAAAAGTGTTTAATGGTTTTTTGAGTCTAACAGTATTCAAGTACAGTAACTGAATCATAAAAAGATAAAAATAATCATTGGTAAAGTTACAAATGGTACGGTGTGACTACTGCAAATGATCACAATGCGATATCAAAGCTGAAACAATATATATGCAGCCCTAGTGTGTGTGTATAAATATATATATATATATATATATATATATATATATATATATATATATATATATATACAGTGCTCAGCATATATATAATTACACCCCTCACAAATCAGATCTTTTAAATTTATACTTTGAATAGGAAGTTAGACATTTTTGCATGTGTGCTTATACAATAGTTTTTGCAATATTTTGCTAGATTTTAATTGTATTATCTTTCAATTTCTTAAAATGTTTGGTGACAAATATTATTATAATAAAATTCTGTTTAAAAAAAATCTGTTTTGTTCAAATGCACCAAAATACATTGCCTATATTCACTGAGAAATGGAAAAAAATATTCATTTTCAAATGGGGTGTACTCAATTATGCTGAGCACTGTAAATATGAGTGCAAATGTGTGACTTTTGAGGGCATTTGTATTTCATAGAGTTGGTTCATACTACAAAAGTGCCATAGAATGCATTGATACATTGTTTAAACTTTTCTCTGATATCTGCAAAAATTCTACAGAAACATTTTGAAGCCAAGGAATTGGGCCTAGAACAGAAAGGTCTGATTTCACCTTATTTGGAAGGGTCATGAATATTAATGAGCTCTCTTTGGGGCTCTTTACACCTAGGCCCTTGATGTATAGTTCTGATTGGATCGCTATCCGTATGTGAAAAGACAGGTGTAAGTAAATGCTCTCTGCAACGCATTCGAGACTGATATAAATCACTGGACCGATCTACATGCATCTGCTTGTTGAAACCACAAATGCCAATTTTACTCCAACCAAAATGGAAAAAATAAACATGAGAGCGCACGTGTGATATAGGCTATATGATCATCAGATAAACAAGCGCAAATGCATAAGCTACAAAAGGCCACAGATGACAGATTGAGATGTTTTTGTTTTAATTATTTAGTTTCATTTCGTTTTTGACAGTGAATGACGAAATGAAATAGTTCAATTAAAATCAGAAACCAGATAGCTATCCAATCTGGGGAAAAAAAACAAAAAAACTAATTAACCAGGTGTAAACAAACCATATTGACTTTGTTTTACAATGCGGAAGTTCGCTCGTTTTTGCAATTGTATTAGAACTTTCGATTCAGTCGCCTATGGGAGAAATGACTAATAATAAATAAAGGAAAACAGTAAAACTGCTTCCTCTACAATTAAACATGTTCATGTAAATACATAAAAAAATTATATTATAATAAGAAAATATCAGTTTGCAACATCAAGCAGCATAACAAGCTGTTTTAAAAATCTTTGGAAGTGAATGAGCGAAAGTCTCGGGGCAAAAACATTCCAATGGCTGCCGTATGCTCATGTGAAGATAAGGTCAATATGGCTCATGTCTCTAATACTCGCAGTGTGATGTACTCTGAAATACAAATGAAGAAAATAGTCAAGTTTCAGTTATCAAAAACATTTGGATAAATCGAGTAGATGCCTTGACAAATTACAATAATTTCAAAAGAATTAAAATAAAGGTTCTTGTTGGCTATCTGTCCATAACTTCTCCTTAATTATGCGTTATAAATAAAATATAGACTAAATGAAAATTATACTCTACAGACAAAGATATATTTACAGTTGTATTTTGTGGATTAATGTATCTGAAATAAATACAAGGAATTAATTAAAAAGGAATTTATAACCTGTCTTTCCTGAATTTTGCATTCTGCCAACTTGCAAACAAGTGATATGAATCACAGGCAAGGTTTTATGTGAGGGATGGGTTAGCTCTAATCTAATAAAATAATATTTATAATACCAATTAGAAGTCAATTTAGATTTAAATTTGACCCCAAGCCCCAGATGGTTAAAATCACTGTCAAGTCATGATCGCACCCATACAGGGGTCTGAAACTGGCAGCTCTTCCAAATGACAGACACTATATAGTAAATGTTCAAAACAAAGGACATATTTTCTTATAAAATGGGTATTTGCACACAGTCTAATAGTAAAATAAAATTAGACTCGTTAGACTAGTGTATTTAAATAGATCTGTATACTTGCACAAGTTTAACAGTGATCGCCATCTTTTAAGATCCTCCATTCATTGGTGTATGGATGCAAACTTGTCACAGTTCTTAAAACTCTTCCGTTTTAAGTCAAAATAAGTTTGTATTTGAGAATCATGTCTGTTGACATGGTCCATCACAGTTACTGTATATGACAGAATCCAACGATTATCCATAAAACTCTGAAAACTAAAATAAGTAAAAAACAATTAGATCGTTTTATTAAATATGTAAGTGTGGCTCAATGTGGCATGCATATGTATTACACAAGCTACTGAAAATAAAGTCAAAACATCATTCTGAAGTGTCCTAAGTGTTACAGTCCAAAAACTTCCAAAAAGGATGTTTTCTTGCTGTCCTAGTTGCCAGTTCATAGTGAATATTGAGTTTTTATAGGCCAAATCAAGCCATTAAAGGGACATTTTTATTTAAAATAGAAAGTTCTAACTTTCCAGTATATTTATTTATTTATTTATTCCAGTATATTTATTAATTATTTGTTTAATTATACACCTTTATTTTTTTAAGTTAACCCAAAATTTAAACCTGTTTAGGATTTCCATTGCTGCTTATGATGGCAGTTGTAGCTTTTTAAATTTAATTTAAAAAAAAATAAATGCCCTTTGCTTGGATAGCTTGTCATACACATAGCCAAGAGTTTTGATCATCTATTATTGAGAGTTGCTTTGTTCCCTAATCGCAGTAGCTCAGATGTTTTCCTGATATTTGACACCATCCCTTAGAAAATCCCAGAGAATAGCTGTTTACGCCATTGGCCAAACAGCAAAAGAGAATTTCCAAACACCCAGAGAATTTACTAATTTAATTTCTTATATTAGTTGAACAGATCAATTCATTTAAGAACTGACAAAAAAAAAAAAAGTTATTCTAGATGTTTTAAAATTTTTCTCACTCACTATAGTATCCTACATACTAAAATAAACATCTTTATGAGAGCAAAGAGACAGACTTTTTTGAAAGTTTATGAAAGAAATATCTTCTGGAATTTCCTTGTAAGCATCTGTCAGAGTGTTTCTCCAGCTCTCTCATGTATCAACACCTTTTGTCACCCCTGCAGTGAAGCCTCTCACCTTTCCACCGTCTGTTCGGCAGCTGACGATATGAATGGCTGCATAAATATATGGTGTCCCGTCAAATATAAATTATTCACTAAAGCCTTTGAATGTCTATGGATGATTGTGTGGGTGTGTGTTCGTGCAAGAGAGACAGAGTAGGTGTT